TTGTAATTCTTTCAATAAATCATTATTTATTGTAATGGCAATGTTTGATGATGAGGTAGCTTTTCGAATCAAATCATCATTAAATGAAGTGAATAATTTCACAAAACTTGTAGTTTTAATAAAACTGCTGGAATTTGTTTTAATATTATCAATAATATTGGTTAATTTTTTCAAACATATTTCATATGCATCAGGATCACCGACAATTTTTCCAAACGTTTTAATATACTAAAATGGGAAAAATTTTTGGATAAAATGAAATGAAATGAAATGTACAAATTTCTAATTAATTAATTACCTGTTGAATAGAATCTTGAGCTTTAGTTAATTGTTCATCTCCATCACTTTCATCATCAAACAATCGATAGTTTTCGAAATTCGACTTAACATCATTTTTCAATTTCTTTTCGATCTGTATTTTATTCAAAAAAATTAAAAAAATCGATGAATTTATCTACTAATAATTATTACCTGTACTTACCGGAGATGTTATTTTAATGAAATCAATTTTTCTTTTTGAATTTTCATCCATTTTTCAAAATGTTTATTCAGAAAACAAATGTTTACATTTCGTTTTCTCAAGCGCGGAATTCAGCCCAAAATAGCCGTTATAACCATTCAAGTAAAAATAGCCATTTTTTTGAAATTCAATAAACGCGCGCTTTTGATAAACAAGACAAATTTTTTATTTTTTTTTTTGAAAATTTTAAAAAAAATGTTTATATATTAGATTGAATAATCGTTAAACATAATTGACATTCATTACAAGGTTTAAGATTTAAACGTTGTAAACAACGTAAACGTTGTCGTCCAGTATAATCAGGTAATTGATTTGATATACGTAATTTATCACCGGGTAATATTCTTGTCGATGCTTTATAAATAATTCTACCATCATTATCAAATTGACGTTCAACATTTGATTCGGATGGACATGATGCTTGTAATCGAACACTAAATGCACCTAATGCACGGCCAACATTATCCTGACAAACAATATTACGTTGATAATTATTATCAACAGTTGTCATTAATGATTGTTTAATTAGATCATGATGACCAATTGGTGAATGTCTAATTCGATATAATGCTGCAAATACAATTCGAATTAATTTTATTAGATCTTCCATTTGAATTGGATTTTCAATTGATTTATTATCAATTCCTTCATCATTTATCGTACGGATTGCTTCTAAATCTAATTTCGTTAGGCGAAATTTATGTGCAATAATCATTGATAAACGTATTGAATCGAAAAGTAATTTCCGTCCATCATCAATATCTGGTTTTTGTAAATCAATCTGACCGATAGATGAATATGGTAAATCCAACATCATCTGTGTAAATACAGTCATCATAAATGGTAAACGTATTGGATATCTTAAACCATGATCATATGCACGAATATTATCAACACGTGATGCATCAACAATCAAACGTATTGGTAATGATGCAAATAAATCATATATTAATGCAATTGTATGATCATTATTAAAATGTTCATAAATTATTGATGCTGATAATTGACAGGTTTTTTGATGATTAGTTGCTGATGACATACGTTCACATAAAACATTACAGAAAACTGATTCCGAACAAACTGAACATGGTATAAAATGATGTGATACGCTACGTTTACAAAATGTACAAAATTTTTTCCAATATGATTTCTTTACGGAAAATGCAACAATTTTTTCATAAAAAATTATTTCACCTTTTTGTATTGGTCTTGTTGAACAAAGATAAAGACTATTATCATTATCAAATTGTGCTGTAGCAAATATATCGGAATAGGCAAATTCTTGATGTGCCTATTTATTTCATTTTTGATTAGTTGTTTTCTGAATGAAATTAATCTTGATTTAACACTTACCTTAGCTGAATCCATCAGCGAACCTTCTTCATTATCATTGGATTGAATTTGTTGTCCATCAATACCTGGTTGACCAATTTGTTGTTGTTGTTGTTGTTGATGTTTTAATTGTATTAAAATATCATCCAATTCAACTGGTAAACCTTCTTTTTTTAATCGTCTTAATACTGAACCATATGTCCGAAATAACATTGATTCAGG